GAATCTCTCGCCGAATCCTTCACAGACTCGTTTCTTCAATCTCTCTTCGAATCCCGACCCCCGTTCTCCCGCGAACCGGGCAGCCCAATCCTGTCGGGCCGTCATCTGCTTCGGCCTGAGCCTCGTCGGTCACTGTTTGGGTCTGTTCTTGTCGCGGCCTCTGATTCTGTCGCTTGAGTCGACCTGGCCGGAAGCCAGCCGATTCGAGGGGAGAGCGAGAGAAAAGGGGAGCATGGGCATTATTGCATGAATGGACCAATCCAATTGGACCAAGCGAGTTGAGGCCGCTTGACGTCCGGACAGAAGGCACGGCAACACGGGCTCGCGACTTGCTTGGATCCGAGTCTTACTGTGACCCGCAAGGAGCCAATCAAAATCGCTCCCGAATGGACTGGCGAATACCAACTGTCCTCGTCTGATTGGTTGGATTGCAACAAATGACAGATTCCACCATCTCCCCAAGTCGTCTTGCCGCAGCCATTATTCTACCTTTTCCCATTCGCTCTGAAGGCGCCATTATGCCGAGGGGCAATCAATCAAAAAGATTTAGCAAAATGAATGTCATGTCACACGTTGACGACACGGATTGACAAGTGGCAACCAGTAGAAATCAGTATAAAAGGGTCCGAAACCGAACAAAATGAGTCCATGCCTCAAAAAAAGCGTAAAATTTGAGCCAATTCAGTCACAATATATATTTCGTTTAGCGCGATAAGAGAACAGGTAGCTGAAATTTCGCACAATCATGCGAATAGAAATGACGTCTCCATTGCATTTCACACAGCCTTGATTTGCCAAAAGATATCATGATCCTGACAGAAGTGGATTGGAAGAAAGCCAGGCATTTCACCATATCATACTGAATGATGGGATTGTAAATGGAAGAAAGTTTCATTGATTGAACAGCAGATAATTTTAGAAGAGCCATTCAGGCTGTAGCACAAACTCTGAAGGAGCATCCAGAAAGCATGGAAGGAATAAGGTCAAGTATAGGCTCCATTCTTAAATTGTTGAGCTTACTTGCATTTCGAGTGAAAGTGTTGCGTGAAGAGATTCGAAGGTCGGTTCCACCAGAAGACGTCGGCTTGAATTTTGTTATGACGATGATACCTTGCTCTGACGATGTCCGTCATATGACGCACGAAAGGTAAGCACCTTTTCACCGGAATCGAGTGAGATTGCCTCAGAAACAGCGTCAGTATGAATGTTCCAGTAAAGCCAATCGACAGCTGATCAAGAAGAATCCGCAATCGTCTTCTGGTGGAAGCGACCTTTAAATCTCTTCACCCAACACTTCCACTCGAAATGGAAATAAGCTCAACAATTATGAAACAAGAGATTCCTCGAAACCCAACTTTTCTTCGTATATGCTTTGAGCAAATTGGCGATTATTGACTGTGTTGTGTCTTTGTCTGTCCGTGACATTTCTCGCACCATTCAGAGTCTCCTTAGTTGGAATGATGATGAAATGGCAGGAAGATACCAGACATTCATGTTGATATAATCTTCTGGTGTAGCGACCTTGAAGGTTCTTCCAACATTTTGCCTTGGTTTTTAATGTGAAAGCGAGTTGGTCCTGTGAATAAATGACCGGAGGAGAAGTGTAGACTTGCATAGTTATGTATAAAGCCAGTATGTGTTGGCTTTTGAAGGAGATTGCCTCGGAAACAACGTCAGCATGAATCTTCCCGTAGAACCAATGGACAGTTGGTCCAAAAGAATCCGCCGTCGTCTTCTGGTGGAACCGACCTTCGAATCTCTTCACCCAACACTTCCACTCGAAATG